GGGACCGAGGGGGGGGGGCGTTGGTGTCCGACCTGTATTTACTGCACATGTGTCGGCGTCTGTACTTCAAGTGTCTGTGTATCCGGTTCTGTCTGAGAATATTTATGAACTCATGTAAACTAAATGTTTTATTTTTTTCTAGCCGATGGAAACTAAATGTTATTTAAGGTCAAATATTTAGTTAAATTTGTTTGTTTTTTTTTAAAGGCAGAAACTTCTTCAACTTACTTCAGATGAGTCAATTTGCCGACTTTGAAATTTTCATTCGAGATTTTTAAAGGCAGAAAATGGGAGACTTAGAAACAATTCCTTGTTTTTAGGAAAAGCAAAACTTTTTGTTTTGTTCTGTGATTACTGATTTATTTCAAACTTCTTGACTTTTTTTTTTATCCCTTATGAATCTACATTTTGCCTGATTTTTAGACATTGTGTTTTAATATAATTGTAACTATTTTTGGGTTAAACTTTGACCTGTTTTATCAGCTGTGATGATTACAGGGAGGTGGTGGCGAGGTGGTGCAGTGGTAGCGTTCACTGTTAGACAGGACGTCTTGATGTTTTTGTTTAAACTTTAAACTCTTTGTTTAATTTAAACTCCACTGAACTGATGCTGTAATTATTCTTGATTCATTTTTAGTTTTTTTCTGTGGGCGGGGCTAATTCCTGACCCTTCCAACCCCACACATGACCCCACAGGTGTGTGTGCGTTAGCATCATTTCCACACAGTGACGACAGCAGCGGCGGCGCTGCCTCCGTCCACTCCTCCACCTGTCTGTGGTCCTGTCAACAGACACCTGTCAGTTTGTGTGGACGTGGTGGATTTAACACCTCTGCTGATTGACACCCCAGGCCTCCCAGCAGGGGGGGCACTGTGTGCAGGTACGATAGCCTGACAGCGGCGGAGTCCACTGTGTGCTAACGCTAACGCTAAAGCTAAAGCTGCTGCTGCTGCTGAGGCACTTTGGATAGAATGCTGTGATATCTGACGTCCTCACCATCAAAGACCAACATCAATGACCAACATCAATGACCAACATCAATGACCAACAAAATTAATTCAAATGAGAAGGGAGTCAAGGATTAAAGCAATGGACAGCTAAAGGTTAGCCAAAATATAGCAAAGATTAGCTAAAAAAAAGACAAAAAAAAAGCTTGAATTCATTATTCAAATATTTTGTTAATGAAGTGAAAATTAATGAGTAAAAAAAAAATTCTTTTTTTTTCTTCCATCATCACAGGCCACATGAGAAGGGCCTCAGACTGGGCCCTGAGCCAGACTTTGAATGTCCTAGATTCAGACAAAAACATCAGCCAACATTTACGACGTATATAAACGTCTTACGGGTTGATTTTTTTTTTTTTTTTTTAAATTTCCTGGTACCATAAGACGCAGCTGGTAATTCACTCCACGTCACACCTGGTTCACGAGGACGACAGGAAGTGGACGTCATGGTCCACTCACCGTTGACTACGGTGTGTGTCACTCAACCAGGAAGTCTACTCAGGAAGACGGTGAGTCAAGAAGTTCGAAGACAGAGGTCTGATTCTGATGATAAAAAAAACAGCTCTCTGCGGCGCCCCCTACAGTCCCATCACGTGTGGCCTCGGTGTGTGTCACTGACTGACAGCTCATTGTTGAGCCGATGTTCCAGGAAGCGTAGACTTCCCTCGCTCTGAGGCTTTCACCACAAGGTGTGTGTGTGTTGATTTTTTTTTTACATTTTTCTTTTTTCTGTGTTTGTAAAGGCCACATTCCCAGAGTTTGGCTGCTGCTCCTGTTATTCTTCCTGTGCTGTTTGCCCCACTCGCAGCTGGAGGGACCGGACGACCGATCTGGAAAAGTACTTTACGAACATGTGACTGGTGATTACAGGGCGGCAGCGCGGGGTCGTACGCGGACCAATGACAGCGTCGTCTCAGAGAGAGAGAGAGGGAAATACAGCAGCCCTGACTCACCCACAGCCCCCCCTGCTGACTCCCTGTCAGCGCTCTTCCTGTGGAGGACCTGAAGAGGAAGCTCCACCAGGTCACCTGAAGGGGTCACTGTTCCCAACAACTTTCCATTTCTGCCTTTATTTGTTGGACTCACGTCACAAACGGCCGTGTAAACAAACAGTCCAGAAAGAATTCACTCACTTTTGATTTTTTTCCCTTTCATTGTTTCAACATTAAAATGATTTAAACTGTTATATAATAGAATAGAAGATCCTGACCAATCAGAGACTTCATCTAATCTAAATATAAGAAAAGAAATATCTGAGAAGGAGCCAATACAAAGAGGCTGAAGAGCCACATGTGGGCCTGGAGCCACAGGTTGAAGACCTCGGTTTTAGATCATTATTTTAGTTATATAAAATGAACAACTTACGCTAAATATTTTAGCTACTATTTTTTTTTTTTGTTTAGCTTTGCTGATGAAATATATTTTACAATGTTGTTTTTTGGTTATTTGCTTTTTAACATAAAAGTTATTTTATTATTTTATTTTTTATAATACATGTGCATAATGACAACTCATTTACCAGCTGGTCATGTTGCACTGTACCTGTAATGATATTTGACTGGTGATGACAGGGCGGCAGCGCGGGGTCGTACGCGGACCAATGACAGCGCCGTCTCAGAGAGAGAGAGAGAGAGAGGGAAATACAGCAGCCCTGACTCACCCACAGCCCCCCCTGCTGACTCCCTGTCAGCGCCCTTCCTGTGGAGGACCTGAAGAGGAAGCTCCACCAGGTCACCTGAAGGGGTCACTGTTCCCAACAACTTTCCATTTCTGCCTTTATTTGTTGGACTCACGTCACAAACGGCCGTGTAAACAAACAGTCCAGAAAGAATTCACTCACTTTTGATTTTTTTCCCTTTCATTGTTTCAACATTAAAATGGTTTAAACTGTTATATAATATTATAGAAGATCCTGACCAATCAGAGACTTCGTCTAATCTAAATATAAGAAAAGAAATATCTGATAAAGAGCCAATACAAACAGGCTGAAGAGCCACATGTGGGCCTGGAGCCACAGGTTGAAGACCTCGGTTTTAGATCATTATTTTAATTATATAAAATGAACTACTTACGCTAAATATTTTAGCTACTATTTTTTTTTTTTGTTTAGCTTTGCTGATGAAATATATTTTACAATGTTGTTTTTTGGTTATTTGCTTTTTAACATAAAAGTTATTTTATTATTTTATTTTTTATAATACATGTGCATAATGACAACTCATTTACCAGCTGGTCATGTTGCACTGTACCTGTAATGATATTTTGAGCAGACACACACAGAGATAAAGCCCTTTCTTCTTTTATTCCAAATTGTGTTACTCTTAATTAGCCCCCCCCCCCCCCCACTCTGACCTGGTCTGCGACCGGAGACACAGTCAGATATTCTAACATCAAATTCCTCTCTTCATTACTTCCTCTCGGCCTCCGTGACTTTCCCAGCCAGAGGTTGGTGCGGTGGAGCAGCGGGCCGACACTGCGCCCAGCCTCCCATTGTATGGGAGCGTTTACTCAGCATGTGAGAGCAAGGACAGTCAGGCTGCCAGAATACA